GTTTTGCACCATCAAAAGAAATTAATTTCATCAATTGTACCACTTGCCGTGCTGATATGATTCTAACAGATTGTATTGTTGTTTTTATTAGATCAACTTGATCGTCAGTAAAACTAGTTTTATTGACCGAGTTGATCAAATTGTCGAAAGTTGATGAATTCATTCCGAATTTAATTCTATTATATGTACTATTGAGAAAAAGTTAACAACAAATTTAGGTTTTTTTTTTCAAAATAATCTTTATGATTTCTTTAGTTTAGAAAATATAAAATCGAATGATATTTATTTGTATCGAATTTCAGAGAGTGATTTATTTTATTTTTATAATCGATCTTCTCACAAGAAATACATTCTTCATTTAGATATATTCTTAACACATCGATCAAGTCTTTTATTAATTTTATTGTATTCAGAGGCTGTGTGAGGATCTTAACATAAGAGTAAAGTCTACAAGAATAAGTCTCATACAGATAATCAAATATTCAAAAACTCTTGTTAACTTTACTCTCTCATAAGGAATAAAGCTTCTTACTTTTGGCAGAAATTATCGATCAATAAAATTGAATAAGATTTATGAAGTATTTCAGCAAATTATATGGGTTTGACAGAGTAAGTGCACCTTTTATAGTCAAATGTCTTGTTTGCAAAATATTTTTCTAAGTTGGAAGAAAAAAAGTTTGAATAAGACAAATTTTAAAATGAGTAACAAAAAGGATTACTAAAGAAAAATATATGCTCCACTTTTAGATGATCTAGGGATTAAGAATACGATGAAAAATGAAATTTATTTTAGTTTTTGTCAAAGTTGGAAAAAATGAATCATTGATAGTTTGATGGATTTTATTTCAACATAAATAATTCCATAAGAAATTGTTGAAAAAGAAATTTGATAATAAACAAATAATAAAATATTTATGTGATTTGGCTTGATTTTACTTTCTCTTATGGATCTGGAGTATCCCAAAGAAATTCGGGAAAAATCTTTTGATTTTTATTTCCATGGCAATACACTTATATGTATCACGTTGAGTACATGCGTGTGTGAGTGTGGGTTATAAATATGCGCGGTAATCTTCGTTTCACGCATACCCACACTATTGATTAATCTTTACCGATGGACTTTTTTCTGTATGATAGATGTTGCTAGCAAGGTTATATTTCTATGTACAAACTAAAAAAGTGCTTTTTTTGAAATAACTACCATCAACTGAGTCATACAAATGTTGCAGTTGAATCCTGTCAGGCATTTTCTGTCTGGGTCTGACTGTCTATAGCATTTTTAACTGATGCTCAGTCATCTAATTCACTAGATTCAGCTCGGGTTTAGTATGTTATCCGACATGAGGACATAAGTGCAATTGTAAGTAAGGTTTAAGATAAGACATACGAACGCACACTCACACCCAACACTCTCAAGAGTGCTCTGCATAACTTTTTTTTGAACAACTAAATAACAGTCCAATTAACTCTTGGTAATTATATTATATTTTTATATTTAATCATAGTTACTGTTACTTTTTCGATTCTCTATTTTTGATAACCTTATGTCATGCTAAAACGAAAACATAAGATTAAGTTTCACTTCATATGGCAGTTTTAGAATAATCAATAAACCAAGTTGTGCCTTCCTATTTTTCCCGCGAAAAACAAAAACGAAAGCTAGTTTCACTAGATAGAAATGTGCTCTGCTCTATTGTCTCTATTTTTATAGTGAAATATAATCATTCATATTCTAAAGGAGAGATGAAGAGGCAGCAAAGCAAAGAAAGACAATAGTATCTTGTGGATCAGCGTTACATCATATTATCACCAAAAAGATAATATTTGCTATCATTGTCAAATGAGTGCATTGCATAAAATTCTAGAAGTTTCGAGAGTACGATATGAGAAAGAATTCATAAGTCTTCCTGTTTAATACTGATTCATTCCATTTTTAATGAAGTCTAACATGATTTAAATTTCGTTGGTGATATTATTTAATATCATAGTGCTAGTCGACGAAAAATATGACTTTCTTTTGCGTAAGCACACTTTTGGTCTAATTTATACTTGTTCGAGTATTGCTCATCGAAAAAACTAGATCAATCTAAAAAGTAGTCAAGTACTTAAAATAAGAAAAAAGTGTTTGAATTTATCAATCGCCACATTATACGTCATAATCGAGAAGGATGTGGGTATGGATATTTGTTTTAAAAAAAAGACTCATATCCCACCCACACCCTCTTAATGAAGATAAAACTTGCATATAAGTTTCACTTCAGTATGATCGACACTACTGGATTATGCGAGATGCGATAGATTCGGCTCGGTTTCAAAAAACTCAACAGCTGATCCTGTCTGTGTGAATTATGTCAATCCTAAAATGAAATATAATTTAGAATATTATCTTCGTATAACAACTGAAAGTAATGGGATCGAAAAAAATGATATTCTCGTCGTTCATTATAGTTCTATTTGGTAATTTTCAATCGTCGTATCAAATCTGTAGTGTAAAACACATTTAGCTTTATTAAAACAATCATTTGTATTTTTCTACACAAAAAAAAACCACATCAATCGACTAAAAATATAATACCACTTTAACTCTTTATATCTTTTTTTTTATACAATAAGACTGTCGGATGAAAATGCTGAAGTATGAAGTTTTGTTTTTTGATGATGTTCAACAATTGAATATAATTGTTCAAAACGTTTTAAACTATCTTGATAAGCTTGTTGTGATGAATGTATTGAACTAATAGATGGTGGTCGTATTGTTAATTGTTGTACATGATCAGATGATATATCTGATGATCCATATACACCTTCATCTTTATCGATGCCAGTAACTCGACTGTTTAAATGTGTTAAATATCTTTCAACCTAAAGACATATTTTTAAAAAAAAAAAGAAATTCGTTTTTCAAAAATAAAGATTTAAATTACCTTTTCTGAATAACCAAAATCTCTTTGATGAACACCGTTAGTATTGATTACATTCATATCTGCTGCTTGTTTAATTCCATATTGATAGATACGATTGGATGAATTCTACAAGAACAAAGAAGTTTAATCATATTGAAAAAAAGAAAGTGACGAGATTAATGTAGCATAGAATCATTAATCTATATGCTAACATATACATCGTTAATTCAAATGAAGCAAGGTCAAATAATCTTTTCTTTGACAATAGAAAATCGTTTGTGGGTGTCAATAAACATTAAATAAAAACATATAAATTTTATGAGATGTAATCAAAATTTTTGAAATGTCGAAATAATTGAATCAATTTTAGTATTATTATTGCTGTTGTTGTTGTTTTTTCTAATCAACATTACAACAACTGATTGTATTCACACTTTGATCATAAGAAAAAAGAAAACTTCTAAAGAGTTTCTCAAATAATATTAATCACCTTTAGTTTGTCTATTTGTTTCAAGATATCGAATATATATATATTACTCAATATTTGTATTAGACAAATATGTATAAAGAATACGTTCATCTTCGAATTCGTTATGATTGATAAAGGAAATCGGATACAAAAGTTAGAAAACATATAAAATTGAATCAAGATTCATAGATTGTTATTAATTTAAGTCCATTTCAATGAGCAAATGTATTTTGCATTTTACTAGACAAATAAATATCTCAACAAAGAAACGCTGAGTGAAATATTCAATAAACAAAAAAAAAAAAAAACAAACTTACTGTTGTGTCTTCAAGTACTTCAATTGTTGTTTTTTGTGATGAACCTGTTCGTTCATTTGAACTATTAGTACTTTCACATGAAGAATTTCGTATTGAATTTCTTTGTGATTGTGTTTTATTTGATCGTAATAGACAAGCAATTAAAAAACATATCGATATTAATATAGCAGCAAGAAATATAATAATAAAAAATATTAAAAGTAATATTAAACTTGTATTTTCCATACTAAAATTTCTTATTTCTATTGTATCATATATTGAATATATATTAATTGGTATTGATATTCTATTTGTTAAATTTCCAATATCATAAACTGTTACATTAATTATAAATAATCCTATAATTGTTGGCATTGAATAAAGAATTAATGTACCATTATTTGTTAAACTTATATTAAGTAATGGTGAAACAGTAAATGAATATGAGAATGTATTCGATTGAAATCGATCACGATCTTGAATAATAAATTGTGTTATAATAAATGGAATTTTTGTTGTTTCATAAGGTATTAATATTGATTGATTTTTTAATTGTAATGGAAAAATAATATCAGGTGGATTATCATTACAATCATCAATTTGTATATAAAATAATATTGAAGTTGATAATGATGGTATACCAAAATCAGTACATTGTAAATGAACAACTATTGATTGTTCAATTTCATAATCAAATAAAGGTGAACCACTGATTTGTAATGAATATGCATTTGTTGTTAAAATAATTAAATTTAAACGAGTATCATTTAATATACAACTAACACGATTATTATCACCAGAATCATCATCAGTTACATAAATATATAACAAAGGTATATCTATAGGAAAAAAAGAAATTGTTTAATTTTAAAACCAACCCTCTATCTACAATGATGCTTTTTTCTCGTCTATCATTAAGTATATTCTTTCATATGAAGCACACTTCTTCAATAAGAAAAGTCTTTTGTTTTTCTTTTACCTTTTGATATACATTCCGATAGGTTGATTTGATAATTATTCATAATCGTCCCATTAACTTCTGTTAATAAAACATTTGGTACATGATCATTGACATCTGTTACATCAATAATTAATGTTGCATAATTGTTCAGCTGTGGTATACCATGATCACGAGCTAAATATATATATATATACGCTAAAGAAGTGAAAACAATATAAAAGAATTATATTGATTTAAACCTTTAATTGTCATTGAATATGAACGTTGTTTTTCATAATCTAAAGATTTTTTTAAATAAATTTCTCCTGTTCGTTCATTGATATGAAATATATTAGATTGATCAACAATTGAATAGCTTATACGAGCATTTTCACCTGCATCATGATCATTTGCATGAATTTTAAAAATAATTGAATCAATTAATTGATTTTCTGGAAGAGATTTTCGATAAATCATTTGATCAAATATTGGTGCATTATCATTAACACTATTTAAAAAAAAAATGTTCATAATAAAGATAAATCTAATAAATGAATATATTTACTCAGTAACAATTATTTCAATATTTTGTTCTCCTGATAATGATGGTTGTCCACCATCATATGCAATTAATTTTAATAAATAATTTGATTTTATTTCACGATCTAAAATTTTCTTAAGTTTAAGAATTGGTTTTGATCGTTTAATTAAACTAAATGGATTATTAATTAATGGATATAATTCATAATTTTGTATTGATAATATACCATAATCATTATCAATAGCTGATTCAAGTGGAATTTCATAATCAATAGGAAGATTTTCTGCTATAGGAAGTTGTAAAAATGTTTTTTTAAATGTTGGTGAATGATCATTAATATCTAAATGAAAGCAAAAATTAGAAGAAAAAAAAAACTTAAAATATCTTTTATATTTAACCTTTAATAATAATTTGAATAGTTCGTATAGAAATATTATTTGTTGAAAAAGTTTGTAAAAAATTTAAATTTATTAAACATTCTGAACAATGACAAAATTTTTTTTCACAAAATTCTTCTCGATTAATTATTTGATTTGTTGTATATAAAGATTGATTTTGATTTAAATAAAAATATGTTTGAAATAAATAAGATGATGGTAACCATTGAAGATTATATGATGATATCGAAGAAAATATTAATGTATTTGATGATAATTCTTCATGAATATATATTCGTGATGTATTATTATCATATGCTGATATTAATATAATCATAAGAAAGTAAAAAATTAACATTTTGCTATCTAAAATAATCGAATAGAAAATATTAGTTTTAATATGTAAATTTCATATACAAAATAAAATTACATCTTATAGATATAAGTCAATTTAGATGTATATATTTCATATCACAATAGTAAATTAGATTTTTTTTTTTTGTTGTCTATTGAGTTCAATACAGTACGAATGTTGGTCACAACTGTGTATATTCGTTTCTTTTATTTCTATAAGTATAAACGAGCTGGTTCCCCTTTTCTCTATGTTCAATCGAAAAGAAAAGAAAAATGAACTTTCTCTTCTCTATCGTTTTTCTTTTGCTCATTAGATTAATCACTTTTATATTCACCATTGTAAATATGGTACCGTGCATATAAACCAATCGTGAATTTAATTGATTTTTTTTTGTTGAGATGATACCATGAATAACAGGTGCACACATATTAACCTTTCTGGTTATCTTGTTCTTTTATAAAAAGCTAAGCGGTCCAACATCAGAGATCAATGTCATCTATACATATGACATCATAAAACATTTCGTCGATTGATCTAGAGAGAAGATGTCTATCGTTTGATGATCGGCATTCACACATATACTTGAAAAAAAACACTATATATATATTTTGTTTTTAGTGGACTATTGGGAGCAACAAAATAAACTAAAGCAATTATTAACACTTTATCCCTAGTTCTTACGATTGAATAATTTTGAAAAAAAAAAAGCATAAAATCAAGAACCATCAAGTTCTCATAAATATATATAAATCGATAAACATATTATCTTGTCGATGATTATAATTTGACAATGACATGCAAGCTATAAAACTTAACTTTTTTTTTTTCGCTAGATCATACCTAAACGAACGCGTGTGAGTGTCTATGTTATATAGATATTTCATGTCACTTGACATATTGGTATACAAATAGAAAAACAAAAGATTTGATTCCATTCATTTGTCAAGTATAATTTACATTTTGGTGTTGATGTATAACCTCTTAAAGGGACCCTATATATAAATATGTCGACAGTCGATGTCTGTCTACTGCAAAAATCAATGTTTGTATGTTTTAACTCATTAGAGAAATCGTCATAGAACAATCGCAAGAATGAACAATAGGATCAAAAGCAAGATGTGATTGCTGTTGTACACCAATCGGAATAAGAAACAAACGATCGTAATACACTTGAAAAAATAGTCCTGAGTCTGTTTTTTCAATTTATTTTAACAATACTAAATCACTTATTGTTTTCATTTTCGATAAATTTATGTCTTCGAATTTCTGTTATATCGAATGAATCACTTGAGACAATACATATTGATAGGATCATAATTAAATGATTTTATTTCGATTTTTGTTCTTTATCCGATTAACACTTTTGAAGTTTCATTTGATTTGAGGTATTTTTTTGTTTTTGTTTTCGATTCGTGAAATTACTTCCTTGTTTACTTCTGTGCATAATCATAGATCAAATTACTATTCATCATTTTCTACTTGACACATATGTATATTCATGTCAATATATATCTGATATGTGTATATGTCAAGAGTAAAAGGATTAAAGTTCATCAACAGCTTTTTATTTATCTTAAAGAACAATACAAAAACGGAAATTATACATATAAAGAATAGATAATATTTATAGTGCATAAATGTTTGAAAAAAAAAAAAAGAAATTTCACTGTTCAATGAATACAACTAATGATTTTATTTATATTCTTGACCTTAAATTCATTTTTGCTTCTTCAAATTAAAAGAAGATAATTACTGTATAAGATAAGTTGTCTAATGATCGAATAGATGATTATCAGATTCAATGATAAGCTGCTATCATAATTGTTATTAGCATTTAGAATCCAATTAGTTACATGTTTTAAATTGATTCTATGGTCCAAAGTTTACGTTAAGAATCTTGCAACGGGAAATTTTTTTTAAAGAATAGAGTATAATTATGAAAAAATAATTAATTATTTACAAGTTATTTCTCTTCGGTTATTTTAGGACCGATTTTTAAATAAATCATTAATAGAAAAATTATTGAATGATAACCTTCGAAATGAGGATAACTAATAATTGCAGTAAGGTTTTCAGCGTTATTATTTTGAGTTCGATTTTATGCTAATGGATGACAATTGAAATATTGACTTGTTGTCATACAGAAAATTGAACTGTAATGAAACGCCTCACATAAGTTGGTCAAATAAATGACATTATCTGAAGAATTGAGTTATTCATAGCATTCAATTAATATTTCATTTGATAACAGTTCAAATGCGATCAAGACTACCAAAAAATATCTTTTTCAAAAATTAATTCTATCGAAGTATTACATCCTTTTATTTTTGACTTATTTATATACGATTCGATAGAACTATTCGAGCTGATTATGAATGTTTAGTTTTTAACCTTCACAGTGCAAGTTTCTACCGAAAAAAATACGAAAAACTCCAAGACTTTCAATCTTTTCATAACTTTAAACAAAAGAAATCTATAAACGCACTGGTACAATGTATCATTTCAAAGACGACGAAGTTCTTTAATGTGAGGAGAAAAAAAGAAATAAATAAAAATTAAATAATAAAACTCTAACAATCAGATTATGGGAAATAACATTTGAACTCTTCTTTCACTTCTGAAATTAACTAATGAAAGAAAATTTCCAACTGTTCAATTACTTTTTACGGTAGATCGGAGTTTTTCACCTGAATTTTAATCTCCATCGAACTGTTGACAATGAATAGAATATCGTAACAATTATAGAGTTCCATTGATGTTCTCACTTCATTTTCTTCCAAATGATTGGTCAACCAGAATTTGGACAAACTGCCAAAACTCAGGTGGTGAAATTTCACATAACCGTTGTTTACTTGAGGCTATTGTTCCTTGATCGATCATGATAAGTAGTAAAAAAAGTCTCTGTTTGTTAGAGTTTTTGATCTTCTCGTATCGAGTTAAACGTATTTTACTTGATTTTTACTTTACGAGCATGAAATCACTGAGATCCTAAATAATCGAATTTCGAACTGGAATTTCATCCATTGATAAGCTTTATGATTGTTAGAAACATTGTTAAGTTTGAGCTAGAATGAACTCATACTTGCCAAGATATCTACGTTTTTAAGAAACGTTCATTATAAGCTATTTCTAAAACATGATTCTAAAGAAGCTTCACAGGCGTAACTGTTAACTCAGCAACGATTCATCATAGACGTTATTGATATAGAATCGAAAATCGTAGATTATTAGCACCTCGTTATAAAAGGAAATAATTAAGATACAAAAGGATATGGCGCTAAAAGCTCTCCGCCATTGTAGATAATAGAAAACTCGGGATCTTCGATTGTGGATAAAGATTTATGATAATTAAAAAGAAATGTGCTTTTTTTTGTCATTTTCTTTGTACCTCAATAAAAAAATCAAACTAACTTCAAACTAAGTTAATATTTCATATATAAATTAACAATAGATTCATCGAAAAACAATCAACTACAGATAAAAAAAAACATAATTATTAAATAATATATTTCAAGATAACAAGAGTTGTTCGTGAAAGATATGTTTGTTTTCAGGAACATCCAAAACTTATCTTTGTAGTTGAAATAATGACTTATATATTGTAATATTTTTTCTTGATCAATCATATCTACAATATTATTAATATCTATGTAGATTAGAGAAGAATTCAATAAATTTATTGATTTAAGCAACTATAGTTTTGTTGGCGATTCTAATGAATAAATCTGTCTTTCAATATTTGAATGGACCACACATTATTGACTTTGACTTAAGGTAAAGTTACAGATGTAATGAAATATTTCGAATAAGGTCATTAAGAAAATGATCAGTTACCATAATCGAAAGAATATAAAAGAAAAATATCTAATAGAGATTGACAGATAGTACTTCATTGATAATTTTTAAATTTCACATCAGAAAGTTATCCATTCACGATAGAAACAAACATTATTTAAATGGTTTACTTGTAGTTATGTATTCATAGTTCTTCGAAATGAAATTTTACTATACATTTAATTAGATTATGAAAATGAAGAGTTTTTCCTTTTTAAAATTTGAGTATGTCTTGACATTAATTGATACAAGTATTATATTCTATCTTATTAAGAATAAGTACTTTTCCCGACTAATGAAAATAGAATGAAAGCAGATGACTATCTTCAAAAAAAAAAGGCTAGTAAGTTATGTATATCGAAATGATATAACTATAGGAAAAATTTTTATTGTTTTAATGCATTATCTTATTGTCATAATTAGATGAAAAGAAAATTCAATTTTTGAGTAAGAACATTTTCAATGAGTTTAATAAACTAATTCAAGAAGTTCTAGTAGGTTTTGTTATGTTTCGATAATAGAAATATGAATTAGAGAATAATAAAGATTAATTAATAATTCATTGAAAATAATATTAATAAATAAATGGATGATGAATAGTATAGTTACAATTTATTATTAATTACAATTATGCGCAATTAAATTGCATTTTCCATTCAAAAAATCAAGGTTTTTTAAAATTCATTCTATAGAAACAAAACATAATAGGCAGATAAGTTATTCAGTCTGTAACAAGCTCAAAAATCAAAATCTCTAACTATGTCAAATGGTTAGGCTAGATAGTGTATTATGTCCTCTAATTAAAGATAACAGTAAAAAATAATATTCAATTTTAGTAAGTATTTAAACCGTTCGATGATAATCAATAATAGACATGTATAAGAGCAATTTTATTCATCAACGACATGATTTCGATTTTTTTTTCATTTCTTTTAGTTAATCTTTATGTAACAGATATATATTCAGTTACTACAGATACTCTTAAAAATTCAGCTCGTTAGGCTTTGGTCTTACTGAGTTATTATTGAAAAACAAGAAGTAGCAACATGACAACAAAATAAGACAAAACATGCCTTCCCATTTATAAACTCTAGAAGTTTGAAGAGTGTTTTTAAAAACTAAATCATATATTTTGTAGATAACTATTCATACTACAAAATCTCTACACA